GGGGGGGGGGGGGGGGGGGGTTGGGAGGAGGCGAGTATGAGTGTCAGAGGGTGATGAGGTCAGAGGGTCCTAGATGCGACCCCTGCAAGACAGGAGGCTGTTGGGGCTTTCACATCCCAGCATATGAGAGGGAGCTGCTTGGGACCCATTTGGGGACCGTGAGCCCCTCCGTCCAGTAACAGTGACGTGGAGGGAACCAAGAGGTGGCCACGTGGATGGCGTCATTGGGTGAGACCCTGCAGGACCTTGATCGCAGGTTAAGGACTTAAGGACATTTCTTTCTGAAGGCAGTAAGATTCCTTTCAAGGCAAATCTGACGTGTGCCAGGAAGACTGTTCCTGCCCACGCCTTTGGCTGTTTGGAAGGTTCTTGCAGCCAGAAGTGCTTCTGCCGTCATCGCCCTGGGAGGGACGCAGTCCGGCTTCGTGGTTCCTCACGGTCTGCAGCCCCACCTGAGGGCCAAGTGAGGAAGAGGACAAACCGGCTGGGTGCTTTCCTGGGGGCAGGCGAGGGGCTTGGAGCCGCACCCTGGCTGAGCTGGGAGGCAGCAGGAGGTGTCTGTGGGCTGGAAGCCATCGCAGAGCCAGGAGGACTGTTGCTTATGAGGGACGGAGGGTGGGATGGGGCCGCTGGACATCCATGGCCTGAAGGGTTGAGAGCAGGGGAGACCCCGGTAATGAGGTCTGCCTCAAATTGTCCGGGGCCTGGTCTGCAACGTCTGCCTGCAGGTGGGAGTTGTGGCCGAGACTGTGGGCGATGTTTTGAGCACCCAATGCTCCTGATGCGGGGATATGTAAACATGGTGGTGAAGCAGGAGGAAGACAGAGCGAGGACACACATGTTGTATGTGCGTATACACACGTATAAATATATGTTGTGTACATAGTCCATGGTGGGCGGAAGGGAGACAATCAGATATTTTTGTGGGCAGCCAAATACTTAAAAATGATTTCCTAGGGGCGCCCGGGTGGCTCAGTTGTTAAGTGCCTGCCTTCAGCTCAGGTCATGATCTCGGGGTCCTGGGATCGAGCCCTGCATCAGGCTCCCTGCTCAGTGGGGAGCCTGCTTCTCCCTCTCCCTCTGCAACTCCCCCTGCTTGTGCTCTCTCTCTCTGTCAAATAAATAATGAAAAAAAATGATTTCCTAGCAAGGCCTTCATAAACGGTTCCTTATGACACATGTGTGACTTTGAAGCATCCTGATGTGTAAAGGTTGTTTTTTAGGGGAGGGCGAGGGTTGTCACCGATGGGAATCCAGTGGGTCACACCCAGCCCGGTGGCACCTCCGAGGGGTCCCTGAGCTCCGGGGTCAGCTCAGTCCTTGCATTTTTAGGTCCGGCACCTGGATTTTCTCTGTCCACCTGGGGACAGACTCAGGTTCATTAGAATTCCAGCAGCATGATTTGTAAGGGGTTTTCCTTTCCAGCAACTGGAATGCATGCTGCAGGAAGGGAGCTGCTGGGACCTGTGCTGGAGTGGATTCCCGTCTCAGCCCATGGTGCTGATTAAACCAGGAGTTTTGGGAAGGGTTCCAGCTTCTCTGATTTTTTCCCACGTTGACGAGTGTGCTATTTGTGTTGGGAAATCAACATGACCCGCCTCCCAGCAGCCTCGGCTCTCCCGTCTCTGCAGCTCTAGTAAGAGGGCGTAAGCCAGACAGATGGAACATTCTGGAGGCTACACAAACTCTTACAACACACCTCGTGTGCCCCTTACTGATGTGCGAAAGGGCGGCCTGGACGCTTCCCTGGAGCACGGCTTCCACTGCGACTCTTCAGCTCCTGATGAACCCCTAACCTTGAACGACCTCTGGCTCTGCCATGTTGCAGGCTTGTGTGTATGCGGGAACGTCTTCCCTGGGAGAACGTTAGAGAGCACGAGGTGGGGGTTCCCCTCCCAGGCAGCCGGGTCGGAGCCCCGAGGGGCACCAGCTCATCCCAGAGGCTGGAAGGAGGCACGGCTCAGGGGAACCAAGTGTCTTCGGGGTTATTGGCGGGCTGATCCACGGGTGAGGACCAGCAGAGTGCGTCAGCTTAGGAAATGTGATACTGCACGCACTTGTGTCAGGGTTGACTTACCAGTATCGATGCACAGGGATCTAGCAAACCGTTTGCCTCTGTTCTTCTGGAAGATAAACATGGAAAGCCCCCTGGGATTACAGGATGGGTTAAGGGTCGTTGACCCGGGGGAAATAGTGCCGGCCTGTCCGCTCCTTCCTGGCTCGCCCCTCTTCAGCTACCAAGCCCACAGGGGGTCAGGATGACCAGACGAGCAGGAAGAGCGGGATTTGCCTCGAGGAGGCCAAGGTTTCTGAGACACTCCGGGCCACTGGATGGATGGCTGTCCCTTCTCGAGGGGTTGGTGTTTCCCTCTGCAGAATGAAGCTCTAACAACCAGTACATGGAGTCGTTGCGAGAATTTAGTAAACTACTGTGGGCAGAGTGCTCAATAAATTGTAAGCACTCAAAAAGTGAGAGAGCCCTCAGTATTTGCCCTAAAATGTCACTTTGCTTTTCGAGGCAGCTAAGAGGAAAGACGCTGATGAGACGCAGGGCTTCGTCTTTGGTTCTGTTGGCATCTGGGGTCCTAGGTGTTGTTTCTCTTTCCACATAATTGAGGTTAAGTTATAAAACCACAGTTTTGCTGGAAGCTCAGAAGAGACACACTGTTTGTCCTTGTTGTTTGTTTGCGGGTGAGGATGAGACAAGATCTTGCATCCTTCCACCCAGGGAGGCGAGCTGTATGTAGGTTCTAGAAGGTTGTGAACAGTCAGGAGCCGGGAACATCAGTCAGGCAGAATCCCACGGGGCCGAGGCCCGGGAGGCGGTGTGACTGCCACAGGCAAAGCCACCAATGGGCGCGTGCATCTGGGGCTGTGTGTGCACCCCCCACCGCTTTACAGAAATAGCAACTGTCATTTTTGACTTCGTGTTTTATGACAAAGGACAATGGCTATAGGATGGAGAATACGAAGTTAATGAGGACAGTGTTGTTGATGTTGGTGTAAATGTTGGTTCAAGGACCTCAGACGTTATACATTTCCACACCACGCTCGCCTGGTCCTGCCGTGACTCTCGGGTTTAAAACCTTGGCACGCTCTCGGGCTCTTCCTTCCCTGTGCCCTTCACATCCCAAAGGCGCCCACGGGTGTCTGTGTCCCTCTCTCATCCGCACCATCAGCATGGGTTGGGTGCTCTTTGCTGGATGCATCAGCATGGATTTTCCCCGCAGCAGAGCCTGATATAAGGACCTGCAGGGAGGGCACAGAAGGATAGTGGAGGAGGAAAAGCATTACCGAGGGTCCACACTGCTTTGAACAATACAGATGTCATTCCACTGGGACCTTTCAGGAAGTGTAAAGATGCCTCCGGAAGACAGGCTTTTATACCGTGCTTCTGTCCCCTGTCACTAAGGGGGCGACCCCGCACTTGCCTGGGGCCTGGTGGGCACTGGAAGACCCTGCCTGTCCCCTGGGCAGTGGTGACAGGTTCCTAATAGTCTTCCTGCCTCTGTGTCTGCCCCCTCTTCCCCCCGCCACCTGTAATGTTGATGTGGCCTTCAAAGGAACAGCTGCTTGCATGGACTCCTGTGCTTGAAAGCCTTCACAGTATCCCCGAGAAGAGATTAGCAGCTCGGGATGGCTCTCCAGACCCCTCGAGCTGACCTTGCTGGTGCCCAGAACTTCCCACCCTCCAATGTGGTCAGGCTCTCCCCTCGCTTCTTCCCACCATCTGAAACCCTACCTGTCCCTACCTGGGCACACCTCACATGTCACCGGTGTCAGCCCTCCATTGCTGCACACAAGTTACCATCCATCATGCAGATGGTCCGGTTGAGCAGGTGGGAGCCCAAGGGGTCATCTGGGGGGCCTTTCCCCCGGAGGCTCTGAGGTCACTCTGCTCCCCAGCTCATCTGGGTTCCCCGCTGACCTCAGTTCCTTGCTGTCACGGGAAGGAGGTCCCTTGTCTAGGTTGGGGTGGCTCTCAGCTCCTGGAGGCTGCTCTCCGGCCCCTGCATGTGGCCCACCCCACCTCAGAAGCAGGAGGGCCCCCTCGGGGGAGATCCCCCCACGTCAAGTCTTCTTCCTACAGGAGACTCAGTGCTTGGCCCGGGCCCACACGGATAAGCTCCCTTGTGCCAGGTAAGGTAAAACCATCACATTGACTCATTCCACCCACGCTCAGGGGAGATGAGATCACATAAGGCTGAGGGTCATTGGGGTCACTCCCAGAATTCGGCCCTCCACACCTCCTCTCCCAGATGGCCTTCCCTGGCCCCTTCCAGCCAGCATTCTCCTTCCTCTGTGCCTCATAATGCCACAGTAACGAACTCACTGTCTCAGCCCTGCAGTTCCCCAGAGCACCTCCTCTTCTGCAAGAGTAAGGGGCCACTGGCCTTGCAGACCTGCTGTGTGTCTTCCCCAGTATTGGTTTTGTGCCAGAAGGTATTTGGGTATTGTACTATATTTAAATATAGAAGGACACATGAAGGACAAGAACTTAAAATGTGAAAGGGAAAGTGCAGAGCTGTTTCATAAATGAAGTTCTATGGAAGAGGGAGCGACCTGCTGGGGGGCACTTGACCCAACTGCAGCATCCCGGGGATGGATGGCGCACACCGCCTCCTCCCCACAGTGACATCCACTGGAGGCAC